TCTCTCTCTCTCTCTCTCTTTCTCTCTCTCTCTCTCTCTCTCACTATTTTACACCCCAATCGACACAATTTAGATCATTAAGGAGGCGGGCTTCCAACCCTGTCTGCCAGGGCCAACCCTGTCCGAGGAGAGGGATGCAACACCCCAGCAGAAAGACCGAGATACTCGTTTAAAATCTTTTCCCTTTCGGAATCGAACTTTGGTCTCCTGCATGCGAGAGTGAAGCACTTAGTCACTAGGCCTACACCACAGACGCCGGTATGCCTGACATGACGTTACAACCTTAGCACCCTTCCTAAAAAAACAACCCCCCTCCCCACCCAAAAAAACCCCACAAAACAACAACAAAAACAAAACAACAGAAACAAAACAAAACAAACAAATCAACAAAACAAAAAACAAACGAAACAAAACAACAACGACCAAGAATAGACCGCGACAATAAATTCCAGGTTGGGATAATTTGACATGCCTATTGTTCTAGCCACCTTGTCGAAGAGGTTAACTTTTACTCAGTGAGGACGCGCATTCTGGTCTTTCGACAACAAAGAAAGACGAGCTTTGGGGCACTTTAAAAAGAAGCATAACTTACTTATTCTTACAGCTTTTTCAATTTTGTTTTCTTTATCTGAAACTTAAAAACGAAGAAAGGCAACAACATGGATACTTTGAAATTATTATGCTATTTTTCGGTTCTGATTTGTGTTGAGGTTGATGGTTATAATAATAACAATTGTATTTATATTGTCTCTCTTAAGCACAAGACGGCTATCCCGAAAAATGCTGTTTTCAGAAAATCGAAGGTAAAAGTAACGTTTTTGGACCCCTGTTCAGTTTCTTTAAAAGACAAGAAGAGTTTTCTTTATAATCAAACAGTCATATACACACCAATGAGACCAAACTTCTCCTATTATAGGACAGGGCAATACCCACTTTTGGTGCAGGTCAAGATTTCTGGAAACCCCCTAAATCTGGGTTTGCCCGCTTGTCCTTTAAAACAATCATATTATTTATATCCTAGCACATTCACGCCCTACAGCATGCCCTATGCTCTTTGCAACTAGAGCTATTCTTACCCCACCAAATATTAGAACACTCAGAAACATTCTCGGCTTCCCGGGCAGCATGCAGCCGCTCTTTCGTCAAATTTTATCGAATTTTTGTTTTTCGGCTCAACATCTTTTATGTCCATTTAAAAACATATTTCCATCTGGGTTTTAAAAAACAAAAACAAAACAACCTCAAACAAAACCTTGATAAAAGGCACAAAAAATATATAATTTTGCAATTTTCAAACGACTCTTGAGTTTTGGAAATTACCTAACTTTGTCGGCCATTTACTCGCTACTTTTACCCCTGAAACCAGGCACCTCCACCTCCTTCAATCGCAAATATTATTATCTCGACTTCTATTCAAGATAGAGTATTTTTTCATCGGAAGGTAGAAAAATGAACAAGCCTTAAGATGATATCAATGACGCCACATGGCCAAAAATTGACGAGCGGCTGATTCTACAACGTTGGTGACACTTTTGGTCCGCTGATAGGGCATTATGTGTCCGCTACATCCTTAAAGACTTAACATCAACCCATTTCGGACACACCCATGCGTACCCTGCCAGCCCTTGTCTAATCAATGGCTTCAATTATTATGTCAGTCCAGCTGCCAATTTCGTATAATAGGAATCGCATATTTTTGGAAAATGCACTTAACTCTATTTCCCTAGTTCTCCCAACTGTTAATAAGCAATCGATATAAATGTTTCTTTTTTTAAACAGTGTTTAACGGTGCTTGCAATGTCATATGAGCGCGCGGGACACACCAAACATTTTCAATTGGTAGGAAATTTTGAATTTTGCCTACTCTTATCGTAACGTGCGCAACTTGCACACCGGACACCGAGATTTTTCGCCCTTGTCCGAGAAGGCTAGATGTAGATCTTTCCTATCAGAAGATCAGGAGTGTGGCTGAAAGACAGCAGTAAGAAGGAGCCAAGGAGTAGCAGCAGTATAAAGGCTGCAGAAAAAGTCAGGAGTCCAATGGAGGGGGCAAAGGAGGTGGGGTGGGGGAAGAAAGTGGAGAAGAAAGCCGACGACAGAATATTGCAAGGAGACAATTTTTAGAGAAGAAACATTTTCGGTCGCTACCCGGATTCGAACCCGGGACCTTTAAATGAGAGGCGAACACCTTAACCTCTAGGCTACGAGACCCATCTGAAATAGATTTAGGCGGAGGTATTTGAATATAGATCTGAGTGATATGGGCGTCAAGTGTCACGTCTCTATGGATCAAAAATTAGTATGGAAACTTACAAAACGAGCTTCTTTAAAAAGCTCCAGGCATTTTTCAACAGTTGCCTGTAAAAATATAACAACCCTAAATTTAATTGGCCTTACTCAATAAGAAAGGATCACAATCACGGTAGCAAAAAACCCCCTCATCAACAGAAAATAGATAAAGAAATCAGAACAAGAAAATGGAAGTGGATTGAACATAAAAAAAAGAAAGGAAGACCTAAAAGCACTTGAATGAGGGATTTAGGTTCGGATCTAAAAGACATAAATAAACAATAAATTAATTATATTCTTTATTGATCCCAGATAGAAGGACAATTTGGTTTATAATGGCAAACATCATACATACATAACTTCATAATTATAGATACATACATACATAATTATACAAACACATACATATACATAAACAAAAGCACGATACTACGTGTACACCAATACAGAACAATTTCATAACCGTGCCATTGCTGGTCGCCATTATGCAGTGCCCTGATTGTTGCGTTAGGGTTGTCGTGTCTTGACCAAGGATACACCCTGGTGACCACCCATCTGATCCCTGTGTCACCGACGCTTGCCTGACTTTATTCTTGAGTCTAAACTCACTACTCATTTAGCCACTGGAGCTCCAAATGAATATATGATAAATTTTCAATTCAACACAGCCTCCACCATTATTTTTGCTTGAGTTTTTTTGTGTCTTTTTATCTTCGATGTGTCTAAGCTATGTATGTATAGTATAAGGTTTTACGGCGCTCGCAACTGCTAAGATCATATGAGCGCGCATTCGATGTGTCTACAGTGATGACGATGACGGTCATGATGAACATGGACATCTTGTTAGTTTTTGTAAGTGTTTTACGACGCTCGCAACTGCATAAGTTCATATGAGCGCGCGGGACACATTAAACATTTTCAGTTGGTAGGAAATTTTGAATTTTGCCCGGGTGGCGGCCTCTTATCGAGTTTAGACAATCAAGGGATCTTTAACGTGCGCAACTTGCACATGGGCCCTCCGAGATTTTTCGCCCTTGTCCGAGAAGGCTAGGTGTAGATCTTTCCTACCAGAAGATCAGGGGTGTGGCTGAAAGACAGCAGTAAGAAGACGCCAAGGAGTAGCAGTAGAAAGGCTGTAGAAAGAATCAGTAGCCCAGAGGAGGGGGGCAAAGGAGATGAGGGAGTGGGGGTAGAAAAAGGAGACGAAAGCAGACGATAGAACATTGCTAGAGAGCAGGAAAGGAGGTGAAAGGAGACAAATTTAGAGAAGAAAATTGTTCGGTCACTACCCGGATTTGAACCCAGGACCTGTGAATGAGAGGCCAACACCTTAACCTCTAGGCAACGAGAGCCCCCATGGACATCTAAGATTAGAACGTTTGATTAAATACGAATAACTACTTGTAAAACCGAGTCTGAAGTATTGTTTCTGCTGTAAAGCAATGATGAGGATGATGAACATGAACATCTAAGATTAGAACATCTGATTGAATGTGAATACCTGCTCGTCCAAGTCTGAAGTTTTTTCTGCCGTAAAGCGATGATGATGATGATGATGATGATTTGTACATCGTGTATTTTCCTCTTGAAATTAAAATGTTTTCGAAGATGGATTTATTGCCCAATGGTAAAAGTAAAAGTACAGACGAGCAAAGGCATGAGAAGAGGTATCTCAATAGAAACATGTAAAAAGATAATATAATTGATGTACATAATTGTAAAATACAGTACACTTCAGGATGGTTCAGTCATCTATCTCAGACTAAAAATACAGTTCTAAAACTGTCGCTTACAACAGTCACACAGCCATGTCTTTGGTGGTGATTTAGAGAGTGGGATGTCCGGTGTACAAAGGATGGGAACATTTTAAAGAGCATTCTCTATATCCAAACAATATAATAAGATGTTTTCATTCCGCCTTTTAAAGGCTGATCGACGTTACGGCACATTTCATGATTTTGTGTGAGGGAAAAACAAACAAAAAACAAAAACTCCACCCCCCAAAAAAAACCCCCAACCCCCTCCAAACCCCCTCCCCCCCAAACCCCCCCCCCCCAAAAAAAAAAAAAAAAACCCCACCACCATTGTTTGACGCTGGTCTCTTTAAAGTTATGAATGCTTCTAAACATGGTTGTGTGGAAATTAAAATATTATTTCCCACACAGCCATGTTTAGAAGCCGATTGGTAAAATTAAAGAAATTGAAATAAAATGTTTCCGCACCTTAAACAGAAACCCTACCATAGAGAAGTTGGCCTACCATACAAAACCATCTCCTCTCCACGCTCAACGGGAGCAGAGGATGAAAAAGTAAAAAAATGAAGGAAAATTAAACAGAAACCTACAAAACGCACCAAGACGCACCCAGAGTGAAAGTATCCCCTCCGTTCAACCCAAAATACGCTTTCACGTGTAGCAAAAAGCAAGCAAGTCTGATCTATGTGATCTGATTCAGCTGGTCATCTCGTTTCAAGGATTCGAAATATATTCAGCAAAAATCTTTTTTTTCCGAAAGGGTGTCTATGAAACTTGGTCAGGATGTCTATAGAAGCAAGCCCAGGTAGGCAATCTGTGATGATTAGCACAGCGTGGAGCAATAACATTATCTTAACCAGTTCATGTCAAAATACTACGGACATTGTCGAGCTTACATTAAGATAGATTATACAAATCTAGATCTAAACTGCCAATATAGCAGCACAGGCACTATAAATAGATTCCTTATTTCATTTTACCATAAGCGTGTTTTTATTTTTGCGCATATTATAAATTTAGTAATTTAATTTAAAGCACCATGATTACGTGTGGGTTATTCCACTTTTTGAAAACGATTACACTTCTTCAGTTGTCTGTGCTATTGTTTGCAAAGCCTCAAGGAATATTTTGTCCAATTTCCGATTCTAAATGTTGGAAAAAATGTAGATCTAGAATCTAGATCTAGGTACAATTGTTCAAAGATTTTTAACTGTTTTCTAGTTGTCTTTTTTCTCTGAGGAAAATTTTTGCTTTCTGACCTTTATTTGAACAGTTTGCTAACGTTATGATTTGTTTCATACAGTATTTCTTGGTTGTGTTGATCAGCTTTGTGATACAAGGTTAGTCCAGAAAATGTATCATAACATCTATTTTCACTGAAATTTAAAAAAAGCTTCTTTGCCCTCAAAATATAGAAATTCGGTGGAGTCGGCTTAAATTAAAATTTTAATATGTGGGACTGTCGGATTTTCTACGGTTTAGGCCGGGTTTTCGGTTTAGAAAGGTTGCTCAAATAGAAATGAAAAGGTCGAGGACTTTTAAAAAAAATGTCTTTCAGTTCATCGTTGTTTTTCGGATTAACCTTGTTCGATTTAAGCTAATCTCACAGCATACATTATAAAATAGGTCGAATCTCATCCGTCATTTTTATTCCCATGGACAGGTACAGACTTCCAGCTGAGCGAGAAAGAATTAGAGGAACTGCAGAACATCAAGATTCAAACAGGCCTCTCGGACAGTACAGTGGAAATTAAAGGACCCCAGGATACTAGTGTAGGCCTACGCATGAACGAATAATTACGTGACTCCAGGCTTGACACCATAATAAGTTTACATGAATTTGCTTCTTCAGCACATGGCGCTAATTTTACGATACATGATATGATAATATGGGCGGATAATATTATTATGACGCACGGCGACAAATTTATACGCAGAGAGATTTATATGTAGTCACACACACACACACACACACACACACACACACACACACACACACACACACACACACACACACACACACACACACACACACACACTCACACACACACACACACATACACACACATACACATATATACATATATATATAATATATTATGTATATATGTATACATATTAATCTATTATATAATGTAAGTGTATTATTATATTATATTTAGACTTATTAGGCTTACACATATCTTTACTCTACTTAGTTATAATTCTGGATACACCAGGGCATTTTATAGATCTGTTATTGTGCTTCTTCTACCTACATAATAACCCCCCCCCCTCCCTTTCAGCCATTAAAAAACATTTAAAAGCTGAAAAAAAAACAGGAAAGAAAGTTCAACAATACTTTCCATGTTACTAGAAAACCTACAGACATTTGAACTTCAAGAATTTATCTTTTGTTCAAAACATATAGTAACTTTTACAGTACCAAGTCTACGATCTGCTTGTATAAAAAAGTAAATGTATGAAAACGTAAAGAACAGCAAAGCGTTTTGATTCCTCTCCAAGCCGTTTTTATGTTTCTTCAGAATAAACATGTCGTCAAGAAGAAATCTTGGATCGGGCCGCCCATTCCAAGTAAGTCTTTATCATATCAAAATAGAAAAAACTCTCTGGGGGTTTAATATTTTGAAACCTGGAGAAGTTTTATCAAATTAATGTTTGGTTGCTTGCAACAACATCAATAACATTCCACCAGTCATGCATACACCAAACTGGCGTCTGTGGTTTAGCGATTCGGCGATTCGCTGTCGCATGCAGGAAACCCGTCTTCGATTCCTGAGTGAGGACAATTTTCATCGAGTATCTGCTCAGTCTTTCTGATGGGATGTTGTATTCCTCTCAACCCGGGTTGGCCCTGACAGCAGGGTCGGAAGCCCACATCCTAAATGATCTACATGTAAATGGTGCCGATGGAGGCGTAAAAACGGATACATTAAAGAAAAGCATACACCAAGTAATCACGGACAAGTACAAGGAGACTGAAAAAGGCTCTATTTATTGACCCCCCCCCCCCCACAAAAAAACCCCCAACAACAACCCCCAAACAACAACAACAAGAAGAAAATTTTTTAAATAAAACAACAACCTTGTAACAGTGCACCCAGCTCTACCAGATTTACCTGTACTGGAAAGGCAATCTGAAATTGTCCTTGACTTTGATGAGTGATGATGATTAGTGGCAATACAAGTTCATCTAGATCTAGCAGGTTTTTCTAAACGTTTGTTTCGACTTTTTCGTTCGTACATGCAATGTTGAAAGGTTTCAGTTTCAGTTCTGCCGCGTCACTAGGAAGACTTCACACCGTGGGAAGCAACCGATGTGTTATTGTGGGTTTCAGGTTATTTATTGGGTTTTATCTAGTTTAATCTGATTTGTTGTTGTTTGGGCTGGTCTTATTTAATTATATAGAAATTTTGGTATCATTTTACAATCCATCACAAGCACACTCACATTTACAGAAACGCGCGCTCGCGAACACACACACACACACACACACACACACACACACACACACACACACACACATACACAGCAGATATATCGTGGAGTAGCAGCTTGAGTATCGCAACTCGAGATTTTGGCGAACATCAATTTTTGGCGTATTGTCCCATGGCACTGGGAAGGGCACATGCCCTGCAAAAACCCAGAGTTGATTATTCTGTGAAAACATACGTCAAATTGAAACTCCAGGTATTATTGTTGGATGAAGAGGTGAAAAATACGTTTTTTTTGCACCTCCTGTATAATCTTAAAACACCCAAGTTATGACACTTGCGTTGCTACCGTGTGGTGTATGTCACGAAAGAGATAGATAGATAGATAGAGAGAGAGAGAGAGAGAGAGAGAGAGAGAGAGAGAGAGAGAGAGAGAGAGATTACATTTACGATATCTTTCCATCTTTATACTGGCGGATACAGACTTGTTCTACTTCTTGTGTTAGAGCATCGCCGATCTGATATATTAATATACATAGTATAGTATTGTATAGCTTGGTTCCTGGGGCCATTGCAAGTGTTTGTAACGCTCCATCCCTCGCAACCTTAGAAAGTTACAAAGTTCTTTCTAAAAGTTTTGGCAGTTTTCAGTTACTAAGACCATGAGGTCAGATACCAAATCGGGTGAATCAAAATCGCCAGACTATTCGGAGTCGTTATCAAGATACTCTAACGATTGCGTTCGAAAAAGCATGAGATGTTGTTGAACTCGTAACTTTTGTCGCCAAAACTAGCTACGAGTTTGTTCTTGTCTCTAGAATTTAACTCTATTGTATATGCATTGAGATTAACTGCTTTTGTTTCTGTCCATCTGATTTCTGCTTGGCATGTAAAAAGAGGATAGGGATGCAATGGGGAGATATGTTCCGCCCACTGGAGGTCGGCCACTCTCTGTACAAGGTAAAAACCCACAGCTTGGCAAGTAGAAGTAAGGCTTACCTTTTCTATTTTTTTGTCGTTCTGACGGCGCATTCATTTCCCACAAGCCATTACGTCCCAATTTATCTTCTGAATCCGTCTCTCTCCCTCTGTCTGCACATACACGTATCCCTCTCTCTGCCTTTGCCTCCAACCCTTCTCTGTTTCTTTTTCTCTTTCTACTCTGCTGTATCTCTTATTTTATGTTCTCTCTCTGGGTACGTCTCTCTCTGTATCCGTATATTTATTATTCTCTGTCTCTGTCTCTGTCTCTGTCTCTGTCTCTCTGTCTCTCTCTCTGTCTCTGTCTCTCTCTCTCTCTCTCTCTCTCTCTCTCTCTCTCTCTCTCTCTCTCTCTTCATTCATTTTTCTCACTCCTACTCCTTCGTCTCTTTCCTTTTCAGAATTCTCATTCTCTGTGCTCTCGATCCTTGTTAACTTTGTTCTAATTTTGTTAGTTGATATTTCTCTTCGTCTTGCCGTACGGGAGTCTCTGCCAACATGTAATCCTCTTTTTCCTATCTATAATTAGATTCTGTCCTTATCTAGTTTCATTATTTTCCCCATTTATCGGACACACAATAAAATATTTCATGTGGAATATTATATTACATTTTTAGTCAATTGTTATTCTGTTATTCAACCATTCCAGGTCATTCTGCGAACCCCCTTCCAAAAGAAAACAAAAACAAAAACAAAAGCGAAACAATTCAAACCAAATAAAAACCAAACCAAAACAACATCACAAAACAAAAATGGAAAACAAACAAAGAAACAACCAAGCAAACAAACAAATACGAAGGCAATAAAAAAAAGGAATCAAACATATAAAACAAAACCAATTATCTAAATCAATATATTACATTGTTTGATTGTTTGTTTGGTTTTCATTGACTACAGACTACGCTGGTCCGGGACCAGATCTGTATACGCCAAACATTGACGCCGTGGTGAGGCGAGGACCCCTGTTCACACTGGGAGAAAGACTGGAGACAACAATTCGCAAAAGTGAGGCCTTACGATGGTCAAGAAAAAGTCTTGCGCTAGCTGTTGTTTAAAAAAAAATCTATCTGTCGTGTTATTGCCTGTCTATCAGAAAATCTGACATCTTTATAGTCTTTTTTCTTTTCTTTTTAAGATCTACTTAAATTGATCTCATCTTGAATGCAGCATTTCACTTACTGCGCCACATAATGTAATCACCGGCTCACTTTTCCGTTCATTCATTCATTCATTTATTCATTCATTCATTCCACACCAGCATCTGCCGTGCAGTGGTTAGACTCTTTGCTGTTGTACAAAGAAGACCAGAGTTCGATTCCCGTGTAGATATCACTTTTTATTGAATACCTCGGTCTTTCTGATTGGACGTAGTATCACCCTCAGCTTGGATTGGCCCTGGAAGGCTGGGTCGATGGGGGTGTAAAAATGGAGTTACTGGCATCTTCTTAGAGCTTGTAAAGTATCCATCTATCTTGAATAGAAGTCGAGATTTTTTAGACTGAAGGAGGTGGGGATGGCTGATTTCAGAGATAAAGATAGCGAGAAAATGGTCGCCAAAGTTTGGTGACTTCCAAAGCCTGAGAGTCGATGGAAGCTGAAAATTTACGTTTTACGTGCCTTTAATCGACGATTTTCCAGTAAAATCCACACTGAAATGTGCTGTTAAGGTGTTATGCCACCCCCACCCTCGCCCCAAAAGAAAGAAAAAAGAAAAAAAATCAATAAAAATCACCATAAAGGTGAAAAAATGCCGGCTTCTTTGATTTAAAAATGTTTTGACAAGTGCCCGATTTCACCATGACGCTTCACAAATCTATTCCACAATATTTACTTACTCAGGCACGTACTGCACTCATTCACTTGTGTACTCAAATCCCCAACTTCCTCTTTAACTCGCTCACTAATCAGCTTTTGTCTTCTTCCTTCACTTTATCCTTCTTTGACTCAGCCATTGCTCCAATTAAGTGGGTGATTGGCGGGTTCTCTGATGTGGTTTGCTCCTTCTTTCCTGACCCTGACAAACATACTTATATATCGTTCTTGTCTCTCCTCCTTTTTTGTATTTGTTCCTATCTTGTAACACCTCTTATCTTCAGCACTTATATGACCTATTTGTGTTGCAAGTACGTAAAACGCTGTCTAAAACTAAAACTAAAGTTTCAATTAACAAACCATTTATGTTTTCTCACCCTCCCAACAGAAACTCCTGCTCCCAACAAGTACAACACATGCGGAACTTTGGACTGGAAGAAATGTAAAAGGATCACAATAAAAACGAACAAGTACCCGCCAGATAATAGCGATAAAAGTGAGTAGCCATGCAAAAGACAACCGAACTGGAACTTAAAAATTTCAGAAACCTTCTTCTAGTCAAAATTCATACTATTAAAAAAAAGTTCTTTCTCATGGTCTTCGCATATCACTCTGAAAACAAAAGTGAATGGATTCCCCGTGTACGATTGACGGATTTGTGTAGTTGTTGTTTTTGTTGTTTTTCGATTTGTTCGTTTTTATTTTATTTTTACTCTTCTGATAGGCAAAACGAGATATGAAAATTACGTTGAATCTCATGCGAACAAGGAGATTGGTTATAGGCTACATGTAATTAGTTTGTGCGGTAAACATCTTTCTTCTCTATTAAAGTGTATTTTCCAAAACTTGTTGCTTTTCAAAACGTGGTTTACATAATACACTTACCCCAAGCTATAAAACAGAACCATAATAATAATAAAAAGATAATAATACTAGTAGCAATACAACTATTAATAATAATGATAATAATAATGATAATAACAATAATTTATTGCCCGTCGATATCTGGCAATGACCAATGCATCCACAGAGGAGAATATTTCTCAAGCGAAATAGAAGCATTTAAGGTTAAATTGACTTTTGCCTTCTGCTATTGCCATTGTCTCTGGCAGAGACAAGTGGGCCGCATTTTGAGAATTCAGAAGCACAACTTCCACTTGTGGATTTGCGCAGGTTGCGAGCTTCTCGCTTGGTTTCAAAACAAAGTGAACGCAATAATAATTGATTATTCCACAGGGATATCACTGGCAGCCCATCATGGTGATTTTCCGTTTAGTTGTTGTAGCTTCAGTTTAACTATATGTTTGCGTGGAGTCATGCGAACTGTCGTTTTTCGTGTCAAGTCATTTTGGTGGCACGAGTTACTGACCTCTGCCGTCAGAAAGCAGTCGACTGGCCTTGATTCTACGCATTGCTTAATTTAGGAAGACATCGTTCTCGTTGACCTTTTTTTCCTTTTCAAAGGTAGATGTTTTTTTACGCCCCCATCGGTACAATTCAGGTCCTCTAGAAGGCGGGGTTGGAACCCTGCCAATCAGGGAAAACCCGGACTTGATCTTGGATTGTTGGGAATTCTCAAGGCTCTCCACCCAATTCGCCAGTTTCTTTCGGAGATGGACGTTGGATTCGAAGATTTCTCAAATAATAATTTAGAATGAAAGGGTAGTTTAACCTGTATAAAACATCACAATGGCTAACTCAAAATTACTTTTACTTTACTTAGTTTTAGAATAGGCATCATTGCAGGCGGCACAATGCCATAGTTGCTCCTCCCTCCTCTCCAGGATCCATGAAAGGGTCTGCCTGCTGATTGTGCCAGTTAACAGCTGGTTAACCCAACAGCAGACACAAAATTAATAATAAATGAATAAAAAGTGAAACTAAACTCGAACAAAAAAGTCAAGGAACAAAAATTCAAAGAAAGATTACTGAAGAACAGTTCAACCGAATTTATTCATTTTTTCACAAAATATGCTTTCGACTCTTTAGATTAAGTGTGAAAAATTCCAGATTTCAACAACAACGCGAAGTTTATGTAAAATGAGTTTAAGTCACATTAGTCGGATTTCAAAAGTCTGAACAGCCAAAGTTCTTCATGAACATTGTCAATAGTGGATGTAGCCACTTCGTTTGATCAAAAACTCGGCACACCGTCGATGCATGGACAGGACATGCCTTCGGAGAACTTGTTGGGGTAGGTTCTGCACTCCTGGACGAAGTAGCCCAAGAGTTGTTGACGGTTTTGTGCTGGAGGGTGGTTGTCCCTTATCCACCGGTCAATAGTCAATGTGATCCCAAATGTTCTCTGTTGGGTTCAAATCCGGACTACAAGCCGGTCAGTCCATGCAGGTGACAGCTCGTTGCTGCAGGAACTCCCCCACGACGCGTGCGCGATATGGCGTGGCGTTGCCGTCGTGCAGTACATCCTGGGGTCCAATCTGCTTCAGGAGAGGAACAGCAAAGGGACGCAGGATTTCGTCCCTATACCTAGCCGAGGTCAAATTGCCCTGTATATGGTACACGGGGTCCTGTGGTGAGCTGAGAAGCCTCCCTATACCAGAACGGACCCTGCAAAGTAGGGCGCCACCTGTTGGATGCACTCAGCGTGGAACAGCTCTCCTCGGAGTCTTCAGACGTGGGCTGGCCTGTCTGGGTGCAGCAAGTTGAATCGGGATTCGTCCGAGAAGACTACCTGGTCCCACTGACAATGTGTCCACTGTTATTGGCGAGCAGGCCACGCCTGCGAGCTGCTTTGTTGGGCGGCGTGTGCCTTGGGCGCCTGGCAGGGACACAAGAAGCTAACCTGGCTCTACGGATACGGTTCCTTACCGTCTCCTCGCTCTCGTGGACATTGGCTGTCACCTGTAGTTGGTCCCTGATGCCATTTTCAGTGGTGGTTCGTGACGTCACGGCCTGTTTGACGATGAACCGGTCGACGCTGTTGTTGGTCAAACGGGGCAATCCTGATCGAGGCCTGTCCGGGAGCCTTCCGGTAGCTCGCCATCGTTCTAGCAGCCTCTATGTGACTGATGGAGACACCCCAAATCGATGTGCAACAACTGGGAACGCGGAGCCAGGGCTTGTGAGATATTGAAGTTTGAATTTGACAGGTGAAAACACAAGCAGTTCCTTGACTTTTTTTTGGCGAGTTTATATGTCTTTAATTGCTAAACATTACAAGGGTTGGTAAACCTCAGTTGCTGTTTCTTGATGATAAAACATACTTTTGTTGGTCCTGTCTTCTAATTCTATGGAATGTTTTGAGCATTTCAAAACTCCATGCTATAGCAAGCCCCTTCTGGCGATTTTCCTATGACAAAAGGCCAACATATGACATCAAAGGCGTGCTATAAATGGAGACATGAAGTCCATTAGCATTTATGTTTGAAAAAGACGATCTCTTTGGTTGGACTATACAATTAAACGAACTACTGTATCACCCCATAATATTGAAATATCTGTACACTCATCTACCCCACTACTCCTCTGTCTCTCCTCATCTCTCATTCCCCAACCAACAACATCCCCCACTTATCCCAACCCCTCGCAATTCCCCTCAATCCCCCATTCCCCAAACCATAACCAACCCCTTACTATTGCCCCATCCCCTCCTATTCCCACCTCATCCCACCCCCCACCCCCAGTTGCCCACAGAGTAAGAAGTACCGACACCTCAGTGAATACATCATGGGCTATGTTACTACCACTGCTGTACCCATAACGAGCACTATAAGTTATGCTGGTGGAAGAACTTTACTTCAAAAGATTTGATCTAATGTTTTTAAAAAAACAACACATTTGTAAATTTTTATGGGTTTTGTTCTTTTGCACGCGCCATGTGTAATCATAGTAGGTTAATTACAACTGACTACTTTTTGCTTTTTATTTGTTGGTCTTATTTCTGCACATTTAGATGTCTTTTCAAAAATCGCTGAAGGTAGGTAATTGGGTTTTCTTGACTCAGCCCAACAAGTTCAAGTAGCTGAGGGGGGGAACA